ACACCCATACACCCACACCCACACCCATACACCCACACCCACACCCACACCCCACACCCTAATAGATAAAAAGACTGTTAAAATGATAACAATAGGTCCCACTCTTATTATATATACAAACATTCATTTTCAATGAGTTTCGAAACCATTAAAGAGCATTGCTTTTGAATGATATCTTAGATGTGCATATATCATCAATATAGATCAGGTATGTGCTTTCTCAGAGTTAACTATGGTCTGAATCAATATGAGTTCAAAATAAATATAAATGCGTTCAATTTGAAAGTGATTTTTCTGTTTTAATATATGTTATCATATTTGTTTAAATATTTGTCTTTTATCTTTTCATTCCGTTTGAATCATATCATAATAATTGAGTGGCTATTTAATTAAACATCTATTTTTCATGAAAATACATCATCTGTTTTTTGTACTTCTTACAGAATAAATCGAAAAAAATGTATTCGATATATTATATTCATATTGCATTGACATTTACTTTAATTTATTGTTCTACATCAATAATGATTCATTTTTATCATGAAAATCTATTTGAATTATCCAATGAAAATTTAACTGTTCAATTTAATTTATCTAATGGACAAATAACATCATTTAATTATAAATCCCAATTAATAACAATAGAAAATGAAACAAGTTTTATTTTTATCAATAATATTCGAATTGATTGTTCAAAATTAATAAATTTCAAAGAAGATGTAAATTCAATTAATTTTACTTATTCTTGTTTAAATGAAACAAATTCTCAACTAACTATAATCTATACATTAAAATTTCAATGGGAATTTCTACAAATACAAATTTATTTTGAAAATATTGATAATAAAAACATAACATCAATTGAAACAACATTTACTCTGACGAATAAAATAATTCCATCTGTTTCGATTATTCGAAATCGACAAGATTTAAATAAAGAACATACTATTTTCTTACGAACTAAATTAAATACATTAGGAATATTTTCTACATGGCAACATCCATTTGGTCATTATTCTATTACATCAAATAATCAAACAGTAATAAGCTCATATCAAATAGGAATAAATAGATCTTTTTTAAGTGAAGGTTTTCTTATTGGTTTTTATCAATTATCTTCATATTGGCATAATAATGATATTAATTATGCTGAAAGAGAAGCTTATGAAAAAGCAACAAGTTTTTTCTATCCTGTATCACAACGTAAACAATCAATAAAACATGCAGGTGGCTGGGATAGTAATGATTATCAAATAGACATCTCAACATTACATGATATTGATCAATATAAACGTTTAATTGATCGTTGTGCACAACTTGGAATAAATAGTCTAACATTTGCACCATCAAATACAAATGTATCAGATCGTCAAGAGGCCACTGACGATTGGGACTGGGAATCTGTTTTATGGTTATCATTAGGTGAGAAAATTCGTTTAGAACAATGGAAACCTTATCATGATTCAATACCTTTAACAATTCAACAAATGTTAGATTATGCACAATTAAAACAAATAAAATTAGTTCCATATGTTTATCCACCATTAGGTTATCGATCGAAAGGAAAAGATCAAGCTTGGCTATTTCCAAGTTCACATTGTAAAAATGTTTGTACATCTCTAGCAAGTATAGAATTTCAACAATATTTTTTACAATTATTAATTGATTTTGCACAAATTACAGGTAATACATCTTTATTTAGAAATTAATATTTTGAATATTTAAATAATTAGGTATTGGTGGATATGCATGGGATTATAATTTTTATTATGATACTGAAAATACAGAATATAGTCAATGGCGTGGTTGGCAATGGACTCGTACCGAATTACTTGTTGCATTACCATATTTAATTATGGATCATCGTTATGCATCACAATATGATGGTCCTTGGTCATGGATTACTTTAAATGGTTATACATCACCTTTATTAAGTGATGAAAATCCTGAAACATATCCAATATTATATCCATCTTTACATACTGATAAAATATCTGCAGATTTTATGCGTCAAGGAAATGTGGAACTACGTTTGGAACATTTCGCATCAATGAATTGTATTCTTGGTTTTATTGGACATCAAACAGAACGTTATTCATCCAATGGAAGTTTACCATGGATAGATAATAATTTAAGAGATTTTGATTTAATGGGTTTTTCATATTCATTATTATCGAATATAGCAACAGCTGGTTTAAATCTTATTCATACATATATACCAGCACGTGATTTACAAGAATTTTATTTATTACCTGAAATTTTTTTAGAATTTTGGTCTTATTGGTTAAAATGGACAGATGAACATATTGAAGAAATACATAATAGTATACCATTTAATATCGAACAAGACTGGTCTTTAATGAAATCAAATGGTTTTGATGGATATTTATTTTTATTTAATCCATATTATAAACAAGTTCATAGAAAAATTTTATTTGATGGAAAATTAAATATTAAAAATCCCCAAGAACAAGGTTATTGGTTATTAAAAGAAATTTATCCACAAGAAAGATTTATATTATTTATAGAATATAATCAAACCAATGAATTTTTATTAGATGGTCAATCTGTTTCAATTTATCAATTAATATTTATTTCAATAATTGATCAACCAATTCTTGTTGGTATTAGTGGACAAGCTTTTTTAACAAATAAAAATATATTAATTATTGATGGAGTTTATGGTGAAGCTGGTACACAAACAAATAATCCTATATCTATTATTTTACCAAATCAAGATCTGATATTTAATGTATTATTAAATGGAATAGAAAAACGATTTAAACAAAACAATCATATTATTATTTTAACTGATCCTTTATCATTTTCTAGTTTATATTTACCACGTTCAGCAGAAATTCTTAATAATACAATAATGATTAGTGATTTATTATTGAAACAATTAGTGAAACGTCAATTAGAATATTCTATTCAATGGACTGAAAAAGAATTAAATGATGCATCATGGTTAGGACCACATCGTCTTTTGTTATTTATATATATTTTAAATCCAAATGATCAATGGAATATAACTGCTCAAATCAATAATAATTCAATTATTGTACATAAAAGTTATAATACACGTGATCATTATTATCAACAACGATTTATCGGATTCTACTTAAATTTAACAAATATTGTTATACAACCCAATGTTCAATACTATTTATCATTAAATATGCCACACATGCAACCAGGACAATTTCAAGGATTATTTTTAGAAAATATTGAAAGAATTCTTATTGAAGCATAAATAATTGTTTTTCTTATAAAAAAAAAAAAAAAAAAAAAATTTGTAGACCTTTCATTCGATGAAACAAATCATTAATGATCATAGACAAATACCAGTATCAGTTTTTTCTTTCAAGACTAGAATGGATGTGAATGTGAATGTGAATGTATTAATCTTCTTTTACTCACACACTGCCAAATACACTCTAATGAAAAATAGTCGCTTTGTGGAAAATTAATAAAGTAGATTTCAGATAATTTTCTTGTAGAAAGGTTTTCGAGACTATTTTGGAAACTCCGTAGAAGTTTACCCAAGTTCTAAATAGATCTCTGAAACTTCTAAAACTTTGACACCGTTTAAGATAGTAATATTTTACAAAATCTATGTAGAGTTTGGAAAAACTTCTAATAAACTGACGAGATCGTTTGAGAAACATTTCCGAAATAAGAAAAATCCAGAGAGGCTTTATTGTACATGTTCTGCAATGTGAAATGTTTTTCAAATATGAAAAATGTTAGATGAACTATAACAATACAAGAGACTAATCAATACAGTAGTGTTGCTGATGATTTTTGTTCATATGGTGCTATAGCAATCATCATTATATTTCCTCGTTCCATTATTTCATGTAGAATCCGTAGGTATTATTGTTCAAGCAAATGTAAAAAAAAATCATTTAATTACAAAAGCTATCGGTGTGTAATGTAAAATGTACATCTTATTATGAGTTATGAAAAGTCAAACATTTATACAGCCGTCCACAATCATATTCACACCCTTATAAAAATGAGAGTGAGTAGTTATTTGCATGAATATTTATTCATTTCAATATAAGATCGACTTGTTTGCGACATAATTCTCTTTGAAAACGATTATTCTACCTTGAGAAAGTAAAATTTTGTCGTGTTAACATTTATACAAATTACAATTTCTGTTGCAAGAATGAATTTATTTTATTGACATTATCAGAAAAAAAAAATTAATTCAAACACCTTTCTTAAATTACGATAATTGAAATGATGCTGCAATCATCAGATGATCTGAAGGATGAGTTTCATCCGGATAAGATTCACCAGAAGGATGATCCGGTAATTCCAATACTTTTTCAACCGTAAGATGACCATTAAAAAAAATGTAATCGAGTGTAGCGCAAAAATTTGGTGATGGTAGTGTATCAGAAAAATTTGTGTAAACAGGTTCGGCTCCATTTTTCTCTCGATAGGCGCTCTTTAATACTTGTTCACAATTAGGTCGATAAGAAATTTCATAAGTATTGGATTTTGGTAAATTGCAACCACCATAATTATTCTCTGTTAAAACTTGATAACAGATATCCCATGGTTTTATATTGAAGTCACCTGCTAGAATAAGATTTTCTCCAGCAGCTAATTGAAACATCAAATCTTTCACAACCAAAGAATGGATTGACATGACATTGGGTTCTTTGTAAAGGCAAGGCATGTGGTACGTACCAATATATAGTGGTTTATTATCGATAACGACTTGTATACAAATGAGAGTATTGCTTCTAGCCATGGCAGTTTCCCATGGATCAGATGCAATTCGTATAAATTTCTTCATGACACATTCGTACAGATTCCATCCCCATGTAAAGATATTGGTTTTTTTCTCATGAAGTTTACTAATTGAACGTATATGATCTCCAATTTTGATATAAGAAATTGAATTGAGCTGCATGGAAACTGGAATTGCTATGCCTACACCCATATAATCATTACGCCGTGGACCATAAAGATTATGAAAGAAAGTGTAATTCAAACGACGAAAAAATAATTCAAGTTTAGGTAAGAGAGTAAGAGACAATTCTTGTAAACAGATGATCGTGTTTTCATGATGGACTATTTCATGTTCTAAATGAGATTGAATCAAATTCCATCTATAATCGGTTTGAAGAAATTCAGGTTGACATTTATAATAATGATCTG